ATGACGAGTTTAAAGGTGTGAAAAAACCGTATGATTTCACGGGAAAAGTAGTGTTGACAACTGGCTCCAGCTCTGGCATCGGTGAGGCAGTTGTCAAACTGTTTTCACTATTGGGCGCCAGTGTTGTCGTCACCGGACGGAAGGGCCAAGAGGTCAGTCGTGTGGCCAAAGAAGCTCAGGATTTGTCGCCACAGAAACTAAAGGTCAGTAATTATTATATTTATATTTTTAATAAAATTATTATTGCTATTTAATACAGTATATTAATAACTTAAATATGTGATAACATTTATTATTAATAATTGTTTATTACCTAGATATTTAATTTAAATGTTATAATGATATTGTTTTAAATTCACCCTTAAAGCAACATTTGATTAACAAATATATTGTTTTCTTAAATAGCTTCTGGAAGTGGTGGCAGATGTGGGTAAAAGTGATGATCTAAAGAGACTGCTGGACGAGACAATCAAAGCTTACGGTAAATTAGATGTGTTGGTCAATAACGCCGGTTTCGGTCAATACGCGGGTATACGAGATCCGAAACTCATGCAAGTGTTTGACACGACTATTGCCGTCAATTTGAGAGCATATCTGGAGTTAATTCAGTTGTCTGTTCCTTATTTGGATCAAACAAATGGTACCATTATTAGCATGTCTAGTATTGCTGCACTGACCCCGGTGAGTTGTACTTATTAAGTTAATATTAACTAATCATACTAAATAATATTAACATGTTAATTAATTAATTAAATTTAATGATCGTGTTATCCACATTTTACTACATAAAGTCAATGATTGGTATGTCTTACGACGTCTCGAAAGCAGCCATTGATATGATGTCTAAATCACTGGCTCTGGAATTGGGCCCCAAAATCAGGATTAATGTTATTAAGTATTAGATCACAATTTAAAAGTACTAACATGCTCATAATAATATAATATCCTACTCTAATAGCCCAGGAGTGACATTCACCAACTTCTACCATGAGAATCCCAGTATAAATGCAGACACTGTGAGCCGATTCATAGCGTCCACACCATTGAAACGTGTTGGCCATCCCCTGGATATGGCCCGAGCGGTCGTATTCTTAGCCTCGAGTGACGCCAACTTTATAACCGGCGCTAATCTAGTGATTGACGGCGGAGTCGTCCATAATATGCCCGCAAAAACATAGATTAACACTTTAATTGTCGCTCAATTAAAATTACAAATATACAAACATAGTGATTAAATTTTTGAATTTTATTTAATATTTTTAAAGCAAAATATTTATAACAGTTTAAGTTTGTAACTTGTAATCTATAAATAAAATGCACAATATTGCGATTTAAATTAAAATCATGAGTACGCTGTCAAAGTAATTACATGGTTGTGTGAAATGAGTAAATGACAGTATTTGAATTGGGTGCAAATAGATTAAAATAACATTTTTAATTTAACACTTTTGTTAGTGCACGTGGACTTTTATAACCTTCAATAAATAAGTTGTTATTTATCAATAATTTTATCCTAATATTTCCTTATTATAATAGGAAATAATAAGTGTATAATTAATATTTTATAATCAAATAAAATGCTATGATCATATTATAATTATAAATAAAATTTTTAAATTCCAATAACACTATGTAATATTTCTTAGAATAATATTTAACTTTGTATGTAAATTAATGATTGATATCAAATAGAATATAGTATATTCAATATACTGTACTATAAAATGAGTGTGGCCGGACTCGCTTTGCACCAAGATGCGAGCAACCTTAAGCTAACCTGTTATTATAATGAACAATTTTACAAGTAAAAGATCATGTAATAAATATCACGGTGTAAGCGTTTATATTTGAACACAAAATTGAAAGGGTATATAAATAGAGGTCTCTTTCATAGACATACCTAGCAGTTTGATTTGAAGTTTAAATTTTGCAATTAATTACAAATTAAAGTTATAATGAATTTCTCATACATTTCTGTGTTATTATATGTATTGGCTTTAAATGCAAACATTATTAACTCCCAAAATACTGTGGATAATAGTGTATTTAAAAACGCGAGAAATGCCCGCGATTTTACTGGTAAAGTAGTGTTAGTGACGGGTTCGAGCTCCGGGATCGGGGAGGGAATCGTTAAGCTATTCTCGGCTCTCGGGGCCAATGTTGTGGTCACCGGACGTAAAGCAGATCAAGTGAAACGTGTGGCCCAAGAGGTGCAGGAATTGTCACCTAAAAAACTCAAAGTAAAATTATAATCTTATTTTCAAAAATAATTTAACTTTAATAAAAATAATTAATTAATCTTATTAGCCGTTAGCCGTTGTGGCCGATGTAACCAAAAACGGCGACTTAAACAACTTGCTAAATCAAACGATAAAAACATTTGGTAAATTAGATGTGTTGGTCAACAACGCTGGGGTCGGCATGTTTTCGCACATTAAAGACCCAAACTTTATGAAAGTGTTCGACACTTTAATACGGGTTAATCTGAGGGCTTATCTAAAGCTAACCCATTTAGCGGTCCCTTATTTAGAGGCAACGAATGGCAGTATTATCAGTATATCTAGTATCGTGGCGTTGGTTCCGGTATGAAATAATTATAATAAATTACAATAATTGTAATATATGTGGTAATGATTTAACATAATATATAATTGACAGATGAAATTGGGAACCGCTTATTCAATATCCAAAGCCGGCGCCGATATTATGACCAAAACACTCGCTCTAGAATTGGGACCCAGAATACGAGTCAATGCTATCAAGTAAAATCTCTCTCTCTCTCTCTCTCTCT